AACGAAAGCACTTCAATAATAACGATAAAATGGAAACAAGTGTGACACGTGGAACACGAAACCCCTAAAATTGTTACCGTAGTTGTGTAGATTCAGAACCCTTGCCATCTCGAGGTCCGAGACACTGCACCAACGTCAATCGGCGGAGAACGATTATGGAGTTTAAAAATGTGATGGTACCGGTAGAGTCAGAGTTATTTTATTTGTCACTTCAACAACAAAATATCTGTAATAAATATATATTGAAATGACAAGTGCTGTGAAGAACAGAATGATTCGTCATCGAGTCCACAGCACCTGATTTGGCAGTATCGGGACTAGATGTGGGTAATTTGCTAATGACACCACAGAGAATGATAACCCTCTATAATGACACCTTAATAATTAACTCAATGGGAGGTATAAGTTAGAGCAGGGGTTTTTAAACCTTTTTTCAGGACGACCTTAAAGACAACTTGGCACTCAAGTGTCCAGTGCGACCCCAGGTCAATATATATATTTTCATGAAACTTTAGAGCTTTTTTTACTGGACTTTTGAGTTTGGTCATGTGGTGGTATTAGGTATAAAAAGCTAAAACCGAACATTGATGTCACAATAAGCACTTACATTTTCTATAGCATATGCATAGAGCGATGCCTATTGGCCTGTTTTACAGTAAACCATGGCACAAACTGCTAAATTTAACATGGTTTGTCAAATCTCAGATGTTTTGTACATCCATCCTCTACCCAGGGATGGCCAATACCAAATAGTTCACTATTACGAATATATTCAAAATTATTTTTTTTTTTTCGAATATGAAATTTCGAATACTTCGAAAATAAAATCCACTAATTGAAGCTTATCTAAATGTATGTAGGAATTTCCATAAAATAAGCAATGGAATAACTGCTATCTACAAGTTACAACATAGCTATATTACCAGGCATTTCATATTTTCAGATTATTGCAGTATATATTTTACATACCATGAGTCATGTAAACAGAATTAAATTAATATGGCAAGGCATTTTAAACAGTGGTATCGGTGATGGATTGGAATATTTTCGCAACACAAAATCATCCTAGTAAAAAGCCCATACTTTTAAATACCAACCATTATCCAAATTATTTGCTAAAAAGCGGGATAAAGTATGAGTTATTTTTCCGACTAGTGACAATTTTTTCGATACGGTAAGTTATGCCAGAGTGGAAAGTAAGTAGCACTGGAAACGATTGAGAGGTGGGAAATCAAGTTGTAGACAGACAGTTGATGTTTTAAAATATAGTCTAGGCCTATAGTCCATACTCATACTGTCATAGGGCATTTCAGACTGTGATATATCAAAATTTAGTGTAGATATAGTCTAGTAATGGTATGCAAACACTGCAGGACTGTGGTACATGCAATGAGCATATATACGCTCATTGAGTACATCAGATAAAATGCATTATGTATTCAAGGTATTAGTTAGTATTTTTACACTCATGCTGTTCCAAATATGATTTTCTTCCTCATTTTAGATACTGTACTACAAAAGAAGACGGCAATGTTCCACCAATCCGACCTAACGCAGGCTCTAATCCCTGCTGCTATCAGTGCTATAAAATGGATTAAACAAGAAGTCTGGAAGCGTAAAGGTATATGAGAATCATAATAGTTGCAAACAGCTTAGATGGGATATTCATATTGAAATACTGAACTCCTGTCACACAATTAAAGTATTTTTTGTTGTTGGTTACATCTATGCCATATTTTTCGTAATCTACCTAATAAATTATGATTGACTGAGGAAAAGAAATACATTTGTGTCAGTGTGCTGTAGGGCTCTCGAATTGCATAGTTCTTATGTATGTGTTGTGAACTTATGGTTATTGAATTTCCGGGAACCTCTTATATTCAATTTCGCATCAGGATTGTGGAACAAGCTATAATGCGTTCAGTATGTTCATTTTCACACAAAACTGAAGAATTTATTTAGTTACCAGATGTGCGCTACGAAACTTTTTTTGGGCGTTTTCAAGGCTTCGTCTCACGGCCATATCCGTGGTAAGGATCTACAGGTGTTTAATAACTTACTTATACATTTTTTAACAACGTCTCAGTATAACTTAACTAATAATAACTAAACAGGGCTATGGAAAGGCTGCCCAACTCAACGCAAGGTCGAGCAGTAATAACTAATATTCATCCGCTCGCTAACAGCTGATTCGATTCAATTGTTACGTCATGCAGAAGTCATTGTTCATTGCCGGAAATGTAGAGAATATAGGACAGATCGTACCACATATTTCTTGTAGTAAAAGCGTCTTTTCCGTAAAACGTGCAACTTTTGAAAGTGGGAACAAGGCAATATTTGTTACTAAATTTTTAAGGAACATTTTAAAATCATTTTCAGGTAGTTACCTGATGTGCGCTACGAAACTCACTTTCTAGGCGTTTCGGATAGGATAGGATTTACATATTTATCCCGGGGGAGAGGAAAGCCGATAAGACGGCTTATCCATATGGCGAACCACGGCCTCTCGTCCGGTTACCATTCCAAGTCGGGTATGGGATTAGTTTTACTGTATTGTTTGTTTTCGGAAGCATATGGACTTGGTGGTAGAGGAAGCCGTAACCGACCAGCGGTTACGTGAACCACCCAACGACGGCGGGGAGTTCAGCAATCCTCTCGCACATAACCATCCCTGCATGGGATTCGAACCTGCGAACCCACGCAGAGTAATTAGAGGTGCGGTGGCGAGCGTATTCCTAACGCTTAGCCCGTTGAGCCACACCGCCGCGCGTTTTTCAGGGCCTCGGCCCGCGGCCTATTAGTAAATGTGCTATTCTAATAGTTGAATATTCGAATATATGTCCAGCCCTACTCAGTAACCAGTAATTATTGACGCGATCAATGTCATGTGAATAAAATGACTTTTTATGTTTTTTTGTAAATTCTAACGCAAATCCTAACTTGGCTGATATATTGCAAAAACGTTTGCGGCCCGCAGTGAATTTCTGACTCGTTGCGGACTCATTTAAACGCTCTGCGGACTCATTTGAGACCGCGGACTCGGGTTGGGAAACGCTGGCCTAGGATAATGCAGTACCGGTACCGGCTAAGCAGATATACCGTACGTTACGGTGCCGGTAACTATATAGGCTGATAGCGATAGGTGTCTCTTATTCATCAATTTTTTGGGAGTGCCACACGATATTTTACACGGTTTCAGATTTCAATTGAATTAGTGTAACTGGGTCACTTCAACTCAGCTGGTGTACGGTACAGTACCATAGATATTACACTAGAATTTAGGCTACCACTTGCAGACTTCAGGACTTGAGGGTAGGAAGAATTTTTGGGGATTCCTTTTCTACTCTATCAATTTCAGGCATATTAAAAATTATTTTACAATGAAAACAATATAGTCTCAATCAGCGCATGACTAACTCTATACCTAAAACGTGTTTACATATCAGTATATAAGAAACTGTAGTCTACCTATATCTCGGTATCTGTATATTTAATGCTGACAGATGCATAAAGAAATATGAATAAAAAATCAAATGTTTGTAGTGATGTATGTCTACGAATAAAAAGAGGCCACTTACTGCGACTTAGAAGTCATTTATTCCTAAACTAATATATATGATTTTATACATCGATTTTGAATAAATGCATTTGATTTTAATTTCAAAAAGTTTAAAAAGGTAATAATTTCCCATCCACTGAATCTCAGTATAACAGGGCAAATTGGTGTTATAGTCTTCGGATAGTTTCAATTAAATAGAATATCCTTGTTTATTTTTTTTATATTCTGGGTGTGTCTATTTTTTATGGATGAGTAAATGTTCCCCTAGCATTCACTACTCTAATTTTGTATACAAGTAAATTTTGTCCTTAATTTTAGGTTTCATTAGCATTTTAGATGTCTTCAAGAATACTTCTATCCCTTGTGTATTTATATGCTGTGTATAAAGTCAGCATAAACCTTCATTTACTTTTGATAGAAAAGTATATTGCTATTAAAGTGCAATTGATGTCGCTAAAGAAGTAAATATTAAAGTAGGTAGTTAATATCATGGTTTTGAATAAGTAAAGTAAAGCTATTATGAAAAAGATGACATACCATTGCCATATAATTCCAGTCTGGCTTTGCTTTATTATTGTGGTGCTCATCTTCCTGTTCAATATTGGCAATAATCAGGATAATTTGAATTACTTCAAATCAGGGTTACAATGATACCATTGTGTGAATAAATGTAAGGCCTATATCAGTATATTATCAAAGTGTAATTGGTGTCACTAGAGATGTAGATTAAAAGTGGGTAGTGATGTCATAGAGATAATGATTGTGAGAAACAAAAGTGAAGCTATATAAATAGAAGACATGAAATTGCAATATTATTTCAGTCTGACTTTGCTTTATTAGTGTAGCACTAATTGTTTTGCTTAATACAGTATTACTGACAATAATTTGATAATTAAAATTACTTCAAATCAGGATTTACAATGATGCCATTGTGTAACTTGATATTCCAGAATAATATTTACCATGCCACCTGATTTAGGATAGGATAGGATTTACATATTTATCCCGGGGGAGAGGAAAGCCGATAAGACGGCTTATTCATATGGCGAACCACGGCCTCTCGTCCGGTTACCATTCCAAGTCGGGTATGGGATTAGATTTACTGTATTGTTTGTTTTCGGAAGCATGGACTTGGTGGTGGAGGAAGTCGTAACCGGCCAGCGGTTACGTGAACCACCCAACGACGGCGAGGAGTCCAGCAATCCTCTCGCACATAACCATCCCTGCATGGGATTCGAACCTGCGAACCCACGCAGAGTGGTTAGAGGTGCGGTGGCGAGCGTATTCCTAACGCTTAGCCCGTTGAGCCACACCGCCGCGCCATCCTGACTAATCATGAGTGACCACGATAAATTGTTAGACCTTAGCCGATTCAGTGAGTCATTTATTTTTCAAGTGTAATTTGCTATTTTAAATTTGTCTTTCTATGCAATTTGTATTTCATAATATCCTACTGTAGGCATGCAACTATACTCATTTCACTATGAGGCTTACATTATATGTCCTGAAGTTTGGGAAGATTCCAGGGCGCCTAAGATACGGAAAACATCAATTGCCTCATCACATTTCTGAAAAGAGCAGGGCTGAATTTGTCAAGTTTTTACAAATTGAATTGGAGAATGAAATGTGGCTCACGAGGCCCTATCTATCAAAAGCACAAGAAGAGTATTTGCCGAATGGTACAAGGTTTACTGCCCCAGAACATAGGTGGAAGAACACTACTTCAATAGAATTGGAAGATGAGCTGAGAGAGTTTAAAAACTTGCGCTACAGAATAAATATTCCTTCTCATGTTGCTTTAGAAGACAGATGGTCATCACTTCATATTGAGGCCAAATGGGAAAGAAATAAGGACATCACTGTGAATAGATTTCAAAAATATAGTGAAATGGCCCAAATCAAGAGGATTCCAGATCGACTACCTAGGCCTGTGGATAAATGGAGTGAGTGGGAGCGTGTAAAGGGTGTAAAGCAAAATAAAAGTCTGGAGTGTTATAATAGTGACTCTAGTGAAACATAAATTTGCTGCCATATCTGGACATAAGACTGGGTGAGATTTTGTCATTTGCTCATATGAAAAAATCATTTTACGATCCTTCTTGACCATCAAGCCCATGCAGCAAAATAAATACCTGG